AAAGTTTCTAACATTACACAATTTGATATTATTTCAGAACATTTAAAATTGATACAAGCAAAACTAAACATTCAAAATTAATTCAATTCAAATTTCAGAGTCATCTCAGTGAAAAGGATTCTTTCTTATGACCTACATCTACCATACCCTACACCAATTCAAAGAAGAAAAAAATATATTTAATTTTTAGATGGAAGAACATCTTCAGAATTATCACCATTTCCCAAACGAATGTCAATTCCAAGATTATCATCATTATTCTTCGGCTCCTTGTCTTCGAATTCTATTACCACATCTGAGTTTCCGTTTGTAAAGATGATTTGTGTTGTAGTCTTTGGAGTTGAGGGATCTGGTAAAGGCTGTTCAGAAAATCCTTCTTGTGAGAGGTCTGGGAATGGCATTGGCCGAGGGTTTTCAGGGGCAGGGTTGTTTTCAATCGGTTCTTCTCGGCAGTTTGTTCCACCGTAAGGGCATTCATACTGATGAGTGTGTGTTCCCATAGGAATAATCTGTGGACGTCCGATGTCTATGGTGTGGCTTGTTTGGTGGAAATGAGTATGAGTCGAGCAAGGTGGGTATGGACAGAACCGTGGAGGAAAGGGCGGGCGAAAACCTGGAGGTTGGTGAAAACCATTCAAAGACCCGAAGTGAACTTCTTTGTTGTGCTGAACTGTAGCATCAAGATGCGAGCCAATTATGCTTTGCAGAGTGCCAGCTAGTTGTCCAATGGGATGAAGACCTTGTTGTTGGAACTGGGGATCCAAAGGTGGGCCATAGTTTGGTCTGCCAAATGGAACCTGAGGATAATCTCCAAAATGGAATGGATGGATTTGTCTCACAGATCGCTGCCTTTTGTCTTGTTCATTGGAATTGAAATTTTCAAGAGAGTCGAGATTCTTCTGATACGCCACTTCAACTTCAGTTTCAAGTGGGTTGTCGTTTTTTGAGAGACCTGAAATAGACATTTGTGTCTAAATTGATTTTATTATTAAAATGTTAAATAATTTAAGTATTTTTTTGTAGTAAAGAAATAAAAATATGATAAACACTAAAATACTAATAAAGGATGCGGCAATAAAACGATCTCAGGTCATCTAAGAGTAGTGGGAGTAGGCTCATTGGAAAGCTGCTGTAGTTATAGCAGTTTTGTCAACTGAGCAACATGCGTTTGTTATCGAGTCATTTAAAAAAAGTAATGACTCAGCTCATTGCAGCTCGCATTCCATGCATTCTTTCAATTAGATCGACATGCAGAGGTTCCGTTGCGATTATCTGAATGGATAATCAACAAAATTAATTAGATTAATACAAATTAATCTGTTGGGATGAAAATTAAGATCGAACTTCTAAATTTGTGTAATAGAGCGGCCAGACATGTTTAAAGCAGACGCTTGTTTTCAGGCGGGCCTAAGAGGACTGTTTTCCACAGCAGTTCAAACTCTTTAAAATGTTAGTTGTCTGGCGTCAGATCTGACTTTGGACGGTCTGTCAGCTTCTTTTTGAATGCATAAGCTGTTGTTCTAAAGTTAGTAACCCACCGCATGATTGTGCTACACAACGGAATCTCTCCACGTCACCCTAATTAAAAGAATGCACACAACTGCCGCTGAGTTGCAATGACTGAATTATTACTATTTAATGCGACTCGATAACAGACTAACCTTACCACTCTCAGACAACCGTGCGCTGCAGAAAATAGATAATTTTTGCCGCTCCCTTTATGGATGGAAACAAAGTTGTTTCTGCATTACGTTACATGTCCCACAAAGATTGTCTGTCAATTAAAGTCTCCATAAAGCTCTTGTTACAACCAAACCAGCTAGTTCAAATCTGAGCCCAACGTTGAGTTCCTTACTTTGTCCACTACTATTCTAATCATCCGGTACCTCTCTTTCGGAAAGATAAAAATATGGGCATAAATAGGTATTAATTACATAAATAGGTTACAGTTCCGGCACTAATTTTTTTTATCGAGTACTGCTAATAGGTAACATCTCTATAAGGCTATCACGGAGAACCAGCTATCATACATGGCTTTAATGTATGGTGTCATATGGTTGCTCTCATAATATGTAGCTATCATAAATGGTTTGATCAGTTGGTGGCTCAGATGGTAGAGCCATGGACTTCGGGCCCAAGGCAGCATTCTTTGGATCCTAGTACCTGCCATTACTTTGTATCAGTACAGTCCATCATAGTATTCTACTGGCTTACCCTCTGCTTTTCTGGATACGTTCCATCTCCATGCAGGGAAGTGGACGGGGAGGTGTAGGTGAAAAGAGGCTGCCAACCTATTTTTTTTAGAAAGATCAAGGCAAGGCTATTAAGGAGAGGGTTTGTAAACCATGGAAGACAAACATGTTGATCAACAAGTAGTATCCTCAACTTCAATCATTTACTAGATAAAAACACCCACTGCCGGCTCCATTATGTCAATAGCCCCCAGGGAATTTCCTAAATCGCTTTTCACATTTTCTATGTGCAAACACCTTCTACATACACATCTGTCCACTGACCACAATAATCATTGAAGATTGATGACCCCCTTCATACAGAAACCTAATCACAGAACATTCACAGATTCTTCGTTAGGGTAAGGACATGTTAAGGAGGTGTATTGTAGTTTGCTGTAAACGCGAAGTTAAATAAACAAATTATCTGTTACAGGTGCGCGCATAGTGAGCAGGTTGAGGTGGAGGTGTAGGTTGCCGCTTAAAAGGAGATCCAGCTGGATGCTTTTCGAGAACAAACTATTTTGATTTTACCTCGCCACTCTTAGCTCGCTGCTTTTTTTTAATTGGTCCGTTCAGCTGTTCTTCTGGACCGATTGGGTTTACATGTACGTTAGGGTACCTTTTAAGATTCTCTGATTTAAGGATACGATTTAAGTTCATGAAACAAGTGATAATATTCAATTCACCTAGTTTCTGCTGTACTTAATTAATGGGGTGAGCACTTAACTCTTGATTACTTAAGGTACTTGTAAACCACCACTTACTAGCTAACGACATCTCATCACTATCATCCATTACTGACAGAAAGCATTATTTACAGAAAAACTAAACAATATTCAATTAGAACTTGCTATTGCGCCACACAGTTGGAGACAGACTGAATGTGGACTGGAGTGGTGGGGGAAAAGGAGCGGTAAACCTCCTTAACATGTGATACCTAGCTCCACCCTACACACCTATACCTCCAGCTACACATCCAGCTACACCTCCACATACACCTCTTCAACATGTCCTTACCCTTACAAGAAACGTCAATTTTCCCTCATATAGGTTTTGGCTAATATGATGAGATTATTGTGGAATGAATAAGTTAACAGACCTTAATAGAATAATAGTGGACAAAAAGGACAAGACATTAGTAACAGATTTGAATGTGACTGAAGTACAATGGAGACTTTATTTTATGGACATTTCTTGCTCTATGTTTGCTGTCCACCATATACTATGTCTTTTTTAAGGTTCCATTCAATCCATTCTATACCGTACTTAATGTCTGTTGTAAACATTATTCTTTGTTTGAAAAACTGTTGGTTTTCTTTAAGAAAATGGTTTAAAACCTATAGCTAAACAATCTAAATATTCATGGCAGTCATAATGTTAAATAAACAATGGTACAGTTATAGTTTGTCATTATAGCTATTTCGTTATATCAAGTTGTAGTGAATTGCCAGTGCGTAAATCATAAGCAATAATAGTTTAGTGATTGAGTGTAAATTAACTCAAACACCCATAATCATCTAAAGGAATAACCTGCTGTATCCTATATGTCCACTAATTGGTTAAGGATAATCAAAAGCCTTAGATAACACTACTTGTTTACACAATATTTCAAAGAAAGACACCACTTCTAGAGGATATAAAAATCTAAATGAAAATGACATGGATATGTCCTGAGTGACAAAACATTCTTCTTGATATGAATGCAAGAGTCTAGCTACAAAATTTTTATTTATAATGTTACTTTTTTAAATCTAAGCTTGATGAACTGGAATTATCAAACTCTTATAGATACTCTAAAGAGCTAATCAGTAATAATATATATTGTATCTAATTTTAAATAGCTTATAATACCTTTCAAACTAGGTTAACTTGTTAAAAACACAATTCAATATTTCAAACAAAAGAATAAACTTTAAAATCCACAGCTGTCATAAGTCCAGTCTAGGTGTTCATTTTGTGGGCTATTTTCTTACATTAAATTTAGGTCAGTAACACTTATGTTGGTGAGGAGCAGGGTAAACCAAACACAAAATATTTATAAACAATTGTTTATTAATTCATTAAGCATGTAAAAATGCATTACATAACATTGTCACATCATAACCTCATTACAAAAATTAAATTTATAAAGTTTATGTTCCCTCTGGTTAAAAAATTACATCAAACATTCTTAAGCAAGCTGAACATTTCAATTAAAGTTTTGCTTTAATCAATTTTACTTTACTTTACTTACATTCACCTATTAAAGAATAAAAAATTACTGCATTTAAACTAGATTACTGTACACAACTAAACTAAAACATAAGTTGATTATTCACATATAAAAATACAGTCTAAGAATTGTACCCACATTTACAAGATTAAAGAGGCAATTATATATATTCACTTATGTAGTTTTAAAACTGTAATTAATAAAACGTCCAAAGGATTTTAAGACTAGGTTCAGTTTAAAAAAGGAATAACTACAGTTCTTTATAAAAATAAAATTTGAAATACAAAAACATTTTCATAAAACCCTATGTTTGAAAAGTAATTAATAAATATCATCATCGTATAACGTGATAGGTAAGAACTAATGTAAATAAAGAAATTGGTAAAATTTTACAATTCTTAAGGAAAACATTGTAACAATAACTAAGAGAATATTTAACAAATACAGTATAATCAATACAAGAGATAGATTTAAAAAGTTCTTTGAAAGAATTTAAAAACAATATTGAAATGTTCTTGACGTTAAACATTATAAATAATCATATATTTACATTACTGCATCGCTACAGTAATATGTTTTGAAAAATACTTAAATTACACACAATTAACTATACAACTATCAGTTGTTCATGTTGAACAACTGTAATATATCATGTTCACTTAAGACAAGGATTAAAATATTTACATGAGTTATATTTACAAAATAAAGTACAACAAATATTTACAGCCAGGCACTAATAAATAAAAAAGCATTATGTACATTTTGTTTAGTCTAAGTCAATATTAAAATCACAGTCCATAGTAGTTGTGTTAGTTTACATAAAAGCTCATGATTTCTCAGCTCTTGCTTTGCGATCTTTGTGCCTTTTAGCCAATTTTATTAGGTCAAAAAATGATGGTGTGTCATCGTAGTCATCCTCGAAGGGGTCGACATAAAACTCTTCATCCCCATACTCGTCCTCTTCTTCCTCGTCGTAGTATTCATACTCATCCTCATCATCTTGAATCTGTAGTTCTCCCGTTTCAGAAAGTAAAGCCAAGATGGCACTTGCATCTGCTTGAGACATCTGTGTAGACCGAGCTGATCTAGATTTCTTCATAGGAACATTAGAGTGGCTTCCAGTATTATTTGAAGCCCTTTTGAGTAGTTCATTCATAATCTGCAAATTTTTCTTTGACCTTTTAAGTCTCTCCTTTTCTGAAACTTCATCCGTTAAAGGTTCAGACGAATCGTAATTAAAGTCTTCAATATCTTCATCTAGCCTCGATGCCCCGTCCCCCATGAGAAGTTCACCTGTTTCGGTAATTTTGTCAAACGTTTCCTCATCCACTAAGGCCTTCATGTCCCCAAATAGAGATCTGATCACTTGTTTGTCTTCTTCGCTAAAAGCGTTATTTTTGTAACCCTCCCTTATCACTGGCAAAAGTTCTAAAATTGTGGAAGCATAGTCGATTGGATTTACGGTATCTTCTAGATTTAGGCTGATGCTGAAGGAACAGTTTGATTTCTCATGTAACTTGTTTGGCTTATTATCGGTTTTTTTGTTTTCAACGGCAGTTCTTTTCCTCCTGTGACCATGTGGCAATCCTAATAAACACAAGACACATTCTGTTGTTGGGTATTCCCTAACATTTTCATCTATGTTTGTAACTGACCGTCTTCTTCGGTTTACACTGTCTTCTACCTCCAAAATTGATTCAGGAATTGTTGTCGCCTCAACAACTTCTGTTTGCAATCCCTCCTCATTTGAAGTTTCTATCTCTGTAGTGAACTTAAGCACTCCACTTTGGTAGGAGGGAAATGAAGGATTCTCACTTGGCAAGTATTCTTGTGTACTTTCTTCAACATTCTCATAACCTTCTCTCCTATAATCTTCAGTCAAATAGTTTTGATAACTAGTCGACAGTTCTCCTACATCCTGTGTTGTCTCTTCTTTACTCTGAGGAGCATCTGTATTACTTGTTTCTGTTGATTCTGGAAAAGGGATGGTTTCTGTAAAATTCTCATCTTCATTAGATTTAGATTGAGGGTATTCCGTTGTTTCTCTTTCCAATAAAGTATTTAAGTCAGGCATAGAGGTTTCTTCTGTTTGCTCTTCTGTCCAGTCTTCACTGAAAAGTAGACCTGGGGTATCAGTTTTCCCAAACAGTTCCTTTGGAATGGTTGGTATTGGTTCGTTTGATTTTTCTTCAGGTCTGGAAGTGCTAGTTAACGTTTTAGTCTCTGTGGCCAGTTTTTCTTCTACAGAAACTGTTGTCACTCTACTTGTTGATATTTCCGAAGTAGTTACTACTGATTCAGTTGTTTCCTGTAATACTATGTTTTCGTCACCCTCTCTTAACTGTGGCAGTTCACTAGGTGTTGTAACAGTAGAAATGTCTTCATGACCAGTACCATTAGAAAAAACATTAGTTGTTGAAATTAATGGAGTGTTATTTTCTTTAGACTGCACAAATAATTCACCGCCATTGTTTGTCGTGGGGAATACTTGTTCACTTTCAGTCAATGCTGGCAATTGGCTGAAACTTTCTTGCGGAGTAGTCAGATCTCTCATGGTTTCGGTTTTACTCTCAACAATAGCGTTAAAAACTTGTGTCGAAGCCTCAGTTAAAGATGAAAAGTCTTCTGATGGTGCATGGTTTGAAGTAGTTTGTTCTAAATTGTAGAAAGTATGGTCAATGTCATCTTCTCTGGCTTGAAGTAGATACTCAGTCATCTCAGATTTCTCTGTTAGATTGTCCGTGGATTCCATCGTAGATGTAAACAAAACATTGTCTTCATCAAAGCTTGACTTGGACTCTTTGCCTTCAGTTGTAATGTCATCGGTTTCATAGGATTCTGTAAATATGTCTTCTTTTCCTTCTTGATGGTTTTCAGTTTTAGTATTTGGTAATTCAGTTGTAGTAAATTCCAAGTCCTCTTGTCTGCCAAGAATGGTTTCAGCAGGTTCTGAAACAAGTTCTGTTGTTGGACCAACTTCATCCTTGTCAGGTAAATTTGTTGAAAACAGAATTATATCCTCAGAAGCTTGTTTACTTGCTTCAGTACTAAACGGTTCTAAAGTAGGGTATGAGTCGGTAAACAATTCTTCTCTAGCCTCTTGATTCACTTCCAATGTTATTGATCTATATGTTGTTGTATAAAATATTTCTACTGGTTCAAATGCATTTTCTTCTGTAGTAGACTCGCCAAACAAATCACGAGTTTCTGCCAAATTATCAGTACTAAACATTGAATCTTGAGTAGTAATTTCTTCATCATTCTTACGATAATCTGTAGTGCTAACTCCATTGTCTGTATCTTCTCGTCCTAGATTATCTGAATTGTATGTTGTTGAGTCTTGAACGGTTCTAAAAATGGTCTGTGTTGTGAATTCTTTCTCTTCTTGGTTGCTTTCAAATGTGACTTCTTCTCTTGGTTGAACTAAAGCTACTGGGATTGTTTCAGATATATCATTATTTTCCATTCTTGTAATTTGCTCAGAATTGCTCATTGTTGTTGTAAAAAACTCTCTATTGGCATCCTGTTCAGTTGTGAGGAGGTAGTTTATTGCAGTTTTACTTTCTGGAAAATACTCATCTGACACTGAAGTTTGTTGGTCACTTGTAGATTGGTCTGTTGTTGGCACAGGAAGTTCACGAGGTTCTACTGTGGTCATTTCAGTAATCTCACTTTTCCATGCAGGGGTATTGTCAAATGTCAAAGAATCCAACTCTATACTGTCTCCTGACTTTGTAGTACCTTGTGTCTTGTTCTCTTCTATTTCATTGCCAAACCTATTTAGCTCTGTTGCTCTGCTTTCATGTTCCAAAAGGCTGCTTGAGGAGGTTGACTCTAGCATTATTTCATTTGTAGGCACCAAACTTTCAACAGGAATTTTCTCTTTTACACTTGGATCAACTTCATCCACAATCTTGAGAACTAGTTCACTACTAGCTGAAGTTGTAATATCAGAGAGAGTGGTGGACGTGGTTATCTTCTGACCATCTTCAATGCTTTTATCAACAATTTTAGGTGATTCAGTTGCTTCATGATGGTTCTGGTTGCCTTCTGGGGATGATTCATGATGATAGAATTTAGCAGTAGAATTCACTAAGCTTGGGTATGTCTTCTGAGTTGGTATATTTGCAGTACTCGTACCTTCTTTAGCTTCAGGTTTAAATTCGACAGTTTTCAAAGGAGGTTGGGTAGGAACCTCAGTGGAAATTTCAGTCTTTGCCACATAGGATATCTGTGTGTTGGACTTGATAGAAGGTTCCGTCCCTATATTAGGAATCAAATTGTCAGGAATTTCCAAAATCTCATTTTCAAGTTTTGACACTTTTTCCTTCTGAGATCCAAAACCTTCTTTTTTATCAGGTTTATTTAAAAATTTCCCTGGTTGAGTTGGATGTGTATTCACAAGATCTTCAAGAGGGGTTGCATTGTGTGGACTAAGTTTACTAATGAGCTTCACGGTTGCATAAGTTGGCCAAAAAGTGCTTCGATGATGGCAATTCTTGTCTGGCCGTTTCCTATCACAGATGATGTGGTGATGATGTTGCTTTGGTGGATACTTATTCTTGGAGTGGCTTGTATGAGATGGTTTGGCGATAACCATTGGCTTGTAGTGAGCGTTGAAAGCTTGATTACAGTTGGCACCATAACAAGGCTGTCCAACTGAGGGTGCAGGAACAATTTTTGCCAGTCTGGACGGAAAGAGATGAAGACAGTTCAAGATGTTTCCAGAACATGGACCAGCAGGAGATTGGTGAATGTATAATGGGTGAACAGGAACATGCTTCACAGGAACATCTCCGTGATAGTTTGGTCCAAAATGGTCCAAGCGTTCCTTGACAAAGGGGAGAGGAGCGAACGCATTGTAGAAATGTTGACGAACGATATCCATGTAGTTCTTCTTCAACATAGCCAGGTGAAGCTGAGCATCTTCTCCTGCATCTCGGATGGCTTGGGCAGCTGCCAGTTGAGCTTCGCTGTAGTCTTGATGGCCGAGGTGGTGGAGATTGAAGTCTTTTGCAACTACAACACCTATAAGAGAAAACTGGCTTGTAACACTTTCGGGGATTTTTATACAGTTTTTTTATTCATAACAACTCTCTGCCCAGTTGCTGAATGGCTTGAACACTTGATAAAAAAATACAAATCTAATTCAATTTGTATATAAAAAAATTCACTTGATGAAATAACGGTAACTGCTTTGTCCAACAGTGACTGTCCCAAATTATATACTGATTTTGTAGGAACACATAAAATTTGAAGTAAACAAACATTCATCAATGGTATACCAACAAATTTACCATTAATAACACTTCCATATTTGTTTTTCTAGGGTTTTCCATGCTTTGGTTAAACCAGTGGTCAAGAGAAAAGCTTTTCCAAAATATAAATCAATTGGGATGAAATTATTTATTTTAGTTGTAAGCTGAGCACCAGTATTTAAATAAACTTGTTTACATTGAATTCTACAGTACTTCGAATGGCATGCGTTGCAAGTAACTTATGACAATAAAAAAAATTTCAAGTGTAAATTACTTGATTTTACATAGTATTCTACTGGGCCAAAAAATAGCCCATAATTGAAAACCCAAATTCGTTGTTTTCAATAGATGGAAAGCTTATAGACATACCACGAACAAAAGAACCTGCGCAGAAACGAAAAGATCACGTGGTTCGCGCCGGTAGGTGTGGCGTACCATTCAAACCTGCGCGGCTCGAAACGGCCCAGGGTTCTTTTGTTTCTGGTATTACTATAGTGACATTTGTGACATTAAAACTAGTCGGACATTCTGAGTTGTATCTTCTGAAATATTCTCTGAACTTTCCTTAAAAGATTTATTGTAAATAATCATTTTAGAAAAATATACAGGGTGTTCAAAAAAAGGTGGGGACATAATTTACGTAGTGATTCCTTTATCAAAATGAAGAATAACATTTTTCAAAAATCGCTTCGTTAACTAGATATCTGCCATTTCGTATTTTTTTACATAAACATTTCTATCTTTGAAATTTTTCAACCGATCTTTATGAAACTTGGTATGTATGTTACCAACCTTAATAATAAATTATTATACCCCATTTTACAACAAAAATTCGTATTGTTTCAGCTATTTCTTATTCGATCTTTTTGAACTTGGTACCGTTTGATAGGGAATTTAAAATGCTAAATAAAAGCGTTCTGGTCATGTTTTTCATCAAATTAGCCATTTTTAGTACCAGTAATTGAAGTTTAAAACATTAAAATGGCCGCCATTTTGAAATTTTAAGTTCAATAAAGATGAATTTTTTTCCTAACATGGGTTTATCTTAACATCCCAAGTTTTATAAAGATCGGTTGAAAAATTTCAAAGATACAAATGTTTAAGTAAAAAAACAAAATTGCGGTTATCTGGTTAACAAAGTGATTTTGGAAAAAATGTTATTCCTAAATCACTTGATTTTCTCTTTATTTTTACCCAAGGAATCACTACATAAATTATGTCCGTGCCTTTTTTGAACACCCTGTATATCTAAATAATACTGCCTTTAGCTCTAATAAATGCAACCACTCCATCATGGTAAAATATGTAAATGCAGTACTTTTAAATATAGCAGTATCTCAAATATCATTAAATAATTATGTAACATGAGAAGTGAAAATAAAACTGTATATGAAGGATACAGAGTTTGTAATTACATTGTTTTTTTGCTCTTAAAATATTGTCTACATATTCAATAAATGAAGTTCTGAAGTATGGGAAAGCATAACCATGTTTTTTGAGTTTGTTTTATAAAATAAAAATTAAATTAATATTTTATAGAAGTTTTTCTAACAAAGGACGAGCATCCATGAAATATGTTTTAAAAAAATCATGTTTTTCTTTAGGTTATTGATATCTTTAGATCCCTGGTAGATGACCAATGTTTTAGAACCATGGATTGTTAAAGAACTAAAATTAAAATTTATTAGTTGTAATGACAATTTGTAAGCTCTACTGCAAGGAACTGATTGTTCTTTCATTACTCTGTTAAAAACTGATCAAATATCAAATCTAAAATTGCGAGCTTTGGACTAGATTAAGTTGTTGTTAGAAATTAACACCTGCTTTTACATTGTGTTTTATGGTTTATGTAGCCTTGTACTCAGTTGAGTTAGAGTTTTAAAAAGCTAAAAAGAATCAATTCATTTCTACTAAATTGTAGCAGCAACGCACTCCTGAATGATTATAAAACTAACCATAATTATTAATTAGTATAATAGTTTCTCGCAATTGCAAACTGTCTTAAAAGATTATACAGGGTGTTCAAAAACGGTGGGACATATTTTACGTAGTGTTTCCTTGGGTCAAAATAAAAGGGAAAATCAAGAATAACATTTACAATAATTATAAGATATATTTTGTTTGACATGACTAATACAAATCTGTATTACTTTGGTTGAATAAACGAGTTATTGAGTTATAACATTCATGCTTTCATGATAATGTTAACAGTCCCGCGATGGTCACCCTACCCATCAATGTTTCAATTCCTACTTTTTAACTGTATTAATAAATAGAACATAGCTGAAGACCAAGCCAGTAACTTCTAGTATATAATATATGAAGTGATATCAAATATTATTCAGAGTCTTGTACAATGTTTAAAATTAAAACTGTACCAAGAGTTTTATTTAATACTTCATCAATGATCTTGGGGTTCGACAAGGATGTACGAAAGTATTGTTGATAAATCTCTGTTCAAAAAAATACAAAGGTGAATATATTTGGTCATTTTGTTCCTACTAAGAATTGGTTATTTAGTACACTAAGAGACAATCATGAGTTATTAAGTTCCGGGGCGCAATAAAAAAGGTAGGTAGTTGAATAAATTCCAAAAAATGAATTGATCTTATACTCCTCTTGATAATCATTAAAAGTTCTATATTAAAATAAACTGTGTAGTTAACTATTTCAACTCAAGCAAACATATTTTTAATCTGATTCACTCACCAGATAATTAAGTGAAAAAAATCTTTTTTTAGACGCAACTGATTCTTAGAAATGAGGTGAACTAGAAACTTTGTCCAGAAGGTAGTTGATGTTGTATAAAAATATTCCCTAATCAAAACAGCAACAGGAACACTCATTTATATAAATCATTCATTATAAATGTAGAAAAAACTTGAGTAAATATTCAAAGGTTTTGGATAACAACAGTGAATTTCATTTATACTCAAGGCTTTTATTTCCAATTACTAAACCTGAATTTATGAAAATATAAACAAATACCCCCGCCACAGCGAACCTGCCGACCAAGCGAATTTCCATTTGTCTGAATTGATTTTCAATTAAATCTATTTAAATAACATGAAGTTTAACGAGTACCTAAGTTTGCTGCTACAAGGAAACTAATAAAGTTTTTTTTAGTTAAGTATTAATTGCTTAGTATAAAATAAATAAATTTGTCAAGTCTGATCAAAATATGTCCATAAACAAGCAAACTACAACATTTTACAATATTCTCCATAAAAATAACATGGAAATTTTTAATCAAAAATTTTTTTTCAATTTTATCCGCTACCAATAACCGTACAAAAACACTTTGATATACTAAATTATTTGATTTATAAGCTCTTTAAAGAGGTCTAGAGAGAAATTTAGAAATTTTGTGTTTTGAGGGTCAAAAATTAAAAAAACAATTTTTACCCCACAAAACCCCTTGTAAAACCCCATTCCCATGGTCCAATCATGCTGGTTCGTGAACTAATTTAAGTTTATACCGCCTTACACCTTTTAACCAAATTTCATCAAAATCAGACAAAAATTATTCAAGTTATCGCGTTTATGGACACACACATACAATTTTGAACAAATGGTGTTTTTGGTCTCTGGGGACATCAAAATTAAAAAGTAAATCGATCCCCCTCCTATGTCTTACCGCCCCTATGGTAATAGCTACTTCCCTATAGAGAAATTTGCAAAAACAATGCATAGTTTTTCCCAGATATTGTGGGGATATTAGTAAATAAATTATAAAGTGTGGCTGAAAAGTCTTAGAACGGTGTAGTATACTTAAATATTATAGAAGATATTTTTCTATTATTTTTCTACTATTATGGATATAGTAATGAGACTTGGCATGTCAATAATAACAAAAAATGTTTATTAAGCTAACATCACTTTTTTCTCTTAAGGGGGCGGCGCACGAGGAGACAGTAAAAATTCTTAAATAGTTTGGTATCAAATTAAACGTCTTAGTTAGTTAGTAGAACACATTGCTGCAAACCGAAACTTGAACGGACAACCGAGTAAAAAATTACAGCTGTTCAAAAATTCGTTGAATTTGCAATGCTACAGTACTATACGCTACCTCCTGAAGGGGCGCCCGATAGAATTCCGATGCAAACCATAAACTTAAGCATAGGTCGATATGCACTTCAAATTAAAGCTCTTCATTAGTATAACATGCCGTAAATTTGAGCTCAAAAGAACAACTGAGTAAAAAATGGCAGCAGTTCAAAGATTCAAAATGACTGATTTAAGAAATATTTAAACGGCTGCAATCTTTGACTTGGTTTTCCGTTCGAGTTTGGTTTTTCGGTAATGTGTTCTACTATAACTACGACTTTTAATTTGATACCAAACTCCACCTATGCTGCTATTTAAGAATTTTGTCTGACTCCTCGTGGGTCGCCCCCCCGCCAAAAAAAAAGTAATAATAGCTTAAGAGAGTACACATTTATGGCTATTATTGATGTCTCACAACTTCATCCAAAAAGGTAAAAACTATATTACACCGTTCTTTTCAATCACACTGTATATTTTAACATCCATTAAAAAGTAAAATTGTGTCATGATTTTTGAAAATTAATTTTGACATTCAACCTGAATAATAAAATGCATGGAAAATTTCAATGCTAAGTTTGCCACCTTCCTTTATTACTTAACTTTAAATTACTAGTTTAAACAACAAAATTTCCAACTTATTCAAGTTAACAATTCACGGTTGTTAACACATACGCTTGCTCCCATTATACTGCGTAAGCGGAGTGGGTAACTATATGGGTTTGAAAAGTTGAAAAATCGTTTGAACTATAACTGCATTGGGGGTTGTGCCATTTTTTACTCACCCTGAGTAGGTATGTAATAATATTGCAAATTCAATTAATCTTTGAACAGCTGTCATTTTTAGTTTGACTCGGTTGCCCGTTTGAGTTTGGGGTTTGGGTTTGCAGCAATGTGTTCTAATAAATAACTAAGACGTTTAATTTTAAACCAAACTATGCTGCTATTTAAAGCTATTTAAGAATTTTTTCTGACTCCTCGTGGGCATCCCCCTGGAGGAGATCATTGAATATATGATAAAATAGATGTTTACGTCAAGTAACTTAGTGCAATGTTTTGTAGCTCTATTTTAAATATTTCCAAAAATATTCAAACAACACGAACACGGGACTTTTTGGACACCCTGTTTATACATAACTTGGAAACTGATGTTTTGACACAGACTCAAAAATTGCTATATACAAAAGAACTTTCTCCATGTACTATAATTAAGGGGAGAAAGTAAAAATGTATAAGAAAATATATTACAGTTACTAAAATTAAACATAACCATGTTGCTGTAAATGTTGTAATGTTTGACAGAAAATCTCACAAAATTATCTTTGTAAACAATTGTTATCTTTCCATATTATAGACACAACCTATGAGGTATTAATTTAATTGCTTGAGGTACAAAAAGATTACTTTTTCTTATTCAATATGAACGACGGGTGGCGTTGTCCTGTAATCCAGCTACTAGGAGGTCACGAATTGTGGATATTTATAGGCATACACTGTGGATGCGATGCTCCGTGGTGTGGATTAACGTCCGCACGAGTGAGTACTTGACTATCCGCAGTACTATCCTGATGGTACCAATTCATTAAATACCAAGGAAAAAATGTGGTTCGGATTCCACTCTAAACTGTAAGTCCCTTAGTTGCCATTAAATGTATGGGCTATTAATTAACAGCTGTGTCTAAGGAACATGTAGGCCTTAGTTACTAACAAGACTACAAGATCACGCCACTCATCTTACACTGATCCTACACTCATATTTGGGTTAAAATACGCACATAGTGGCGTCCCCATCTTAAATAATTGATAATTGATAATAACGATTGCATAACTTTCTTTCTTATAGATAAAAATCAAATTCATAAAAAACTAACTGGAGTATACAAAACAAAACATATATTTTCCATGGCTAATATTTGAAACTACTGTATACTCTTTATTATATGGGGAACCATAAAAGAGGGGGGGGGTCCAAATTAAATTAAATCCAAACAAAGGCCCTCAAGTAATAATTAATAAAAAATAAGAACAGTTAATCAAACAAATAAAATTTAAAATTCAATTATATGTTATACCAAATATAAGAAAATGTAGTAATAAAAGGCTCGTACCTTAAATTTTCTACTCGTGTCGTTAACACTATTTACGCGAGTTGCTACACTAGTGTTTTAATTACTAAAAATCACTATTCATAACTTCCAAGAGATGAGGTTGTGTTTTCGTTTATAGTGTCTCATTGCCACTGACAGTGATGCAACGAAACATTGTACCAAACAACCAAACACTAAATTGCACCACTCAACAATTAAATTGGTAATTGAACAGCTGATTAGTTTAATTTGGAATCATTACAATTTTACTTCTCCTTGTCAATCCTTAAACCTCATTGGTCTGTTACCCGTGTTGTTATGAATAAAACTATGCTGTTATGAAAATAAACAATGTTGTCATGAGATGGTTTTCAATTCTAAGAACTTTACTGAAACGGCTACTTAAAAAACGGTTGTAGGTAAAACTAATTATAAAATGAAAATAGGTTAAATGTTAAACTTTGACAAGCTAAGAATTGTTCTCAATTTATTCTTTGATCTTGTTTTATATTGTGTTTTTTAGCAAGAACATAATGACATGAAAAATTCTCAACCATCACAGTAATTTCAATCTAATTTTTATAATCTTAGATACTGCATTAGTTCAGTTAAGTCAATAATACTACTAATAGAATTTGACAAATGCATGTAATTTTCTTCATTATTTATTTTTATAATGTAACTAATCATAAAGGCACATAATCCCTCTGAAATGCTTAGAAGACTTCTGTAATTTTGATAAAATAGCAAAGTTAAGTGTTTTTAACAATTTACTTACAAAACAAAATCGTTGCCAGATAATGTCATTGCACTCAAGAACTTTCCTGTCATTAGTATGGTCTGTACATAGATAATCATTTTGTCTTATCATAACTAAACAGCATTCGGTTTTTTTAGGTAGGTAGATTTTTAGGTAGGTTTAAAACAGTATATCGTTACAATAATGGTATTATTCATACAGAATGTTCCCAAAATATATTTTAAACAAAATTTAGACTATTTGGGTCAGTTAAAAATTCTGAAATAGACTAAATTTTAAATTTTGACTTGAACTAATTGGTAGTAATATTTGGTACAATTTTAACCCTTTAGACGACATGATAATTGATTACACATATTTCGACTTTAACAAAAAATATCACAATTTGGCAAACATTGAATTATTTGGTTCTAAATAAAACGTCAAACGCTGGAATCTGAATCTTTGAAGTTTACTGAACTGTTTCTAAAAACAAATACCAGTATAAACGTTCTTTTTGTAACTGGGTGAAATTTTTATTGTTGCCGACTTACACATTACTTAGATTCAAAGAAATCTCTATGTTATAGTAGTGACAATACTCAATCTTAGTCAACACACATGGCTTTATATGACTCATTATCATACACTGGAATTTGCTAAATAAGAATGAAAAACGTTAACTACTTAAGGAGGGAGTTCACTAAAAAAAAAAACTGAAGTTTTACTTGAAAATGTTATTTTGACATATTTTTATTCTCCCTTAAACTCCATATCTAAAAAAACATAAACTATAAGACCGTACTATTTTTATTCACATGGACAAATTTTTTAAGTTAATAATGTATGTCGATTTTTCAACCGTAGATTGCTTTGTTTTGAGTATTTTAGTAATACAATTTGACTAAAACCTACAGTAGTCATTTTATAAATAGTCATTTTAATAGTCATTCACCTATAACCTAGTTAGTTTATTTGGAAAAACTGTATTTAATAGTATATTGTCTGTTTGGAATAGTGAGGGCCACAGCTGCTTTCAAACAAAGGCTAGGGTTAATTTCTTGATTTGTGCTTTACTGTTTGGTTATATAACTAGGGGACAAGTTAGATTAGAGCGTATTATTTGGTTAAACGAGGTTTTAAATGGCTGTAATAACGGGAAACAAATTGTAAACAAAACACGACCTCTACATAAACCGTACATGAACTAACAATAAAATTGTCTTCAGCTGTTCCATAAGGATGAGAAATCTACTAAAACCCAGCTCCGCTTCTAGAAGATATAGAGAGGTGATTTTTTGTTTTTATTTTGTTCAGCTTGTTCAGTTATATGATCTGTGGGATGGATTTGAAAGAAAAATCAATAGAACATATTTAATAATATTTTTTGTTAATTTTCTACAAAAAAACCTATTTACATTTAGTTGTTTTTAGTTTTTATAGTTTAACATTAAAAATGTTATAGGGCCATTAATTTTATTCAAACAAAACCCATCCTACAGACCATAGAGCATACCTCAAGAAACACTTAAAAACAAACAGTTTTAATTAATCTTTCATGGGTTTTAATCCGTACATGATCTAGTGAACCCTTGTAAAACTTGAAAAATCATCCCTCCTCCCCTACAGGGGGTGAAAAAATCCAACACATTTTTTTGTTACTATGGTTACAGCTAATTTTCAGAAAAAGTTTAAATATTTTTGGCTAGTAAGATTTATAATTTTTTCATGAACTCCCCCCTCAAACAATAGGGTAAGATTGTTTGTCCAAAATAAGTGTAAAAACCGATTAGGTGACGGAAACAATGGTAATAAATATATAAAAATATGTGAAACATTATTCCTTACACTTGTTGATCTATCATGATTGTAAGTGTAACTGCAGTTTTTTTTTCTAACGTATCAATTAATATGAACAGAAATACCTGAAAATAAATTTATTTGTGTTATTTTATTATCAAATCCTATCAACTGTGGGTAACAACTTTTAAAATGATAAGAATAAATCAATCAAATGTTGTGGTTTTCTTACAAGACCGAACATGAAAATAACAAACAAAACTGAACTCTTACATGCGTAGATATTAATTAACAAGGATATATTAAAAGGGAGATATTGAAAACCAAATGATTTCACATGGTTTATAAATGTCCTAATTGTTTTTAGTTATGTAAATACAAAATACATTCTGGTAAACGTCTGGTAATATTTATACCGTTTCATGTTGTGTAAATGCAATATTTTTTAACTCAGTCAAGTTTTCTCAATATTTTACTTAAACAGAATCCTGGAATCGTTGACAATATTTAGGCCCTATACTAATATTTACTTTAAGACAGTTTTAAAATTATAAAATATTAAAAGTAAGTTTTTGAAGTCCTTGGTTAAATTAATTAGGTACCATTATCGTTTATTTATTAAATGAATAAAGTTCTACACTTGATACAACATGTAAATACAATTTTTAAATAAACCCGTATTGTGGGAGAGCTAGTTAAATATTTTTTCATCTTAAGACAATGAAAATAATATTTTTAATAGATTTTCTACCCTACCTCATGATTGGTCTTTAAAACTAACAGATTATAGTTTGTTGCAAAGTAATGGATAACATGTTAAACTTATTTATTCTTCTTGTATTTAGTGATAATCCATTGCATTTGTAACTTGTGCTTCAACTTTAATTAAGTCAAAATAAACATTTTGTTAATAAGCGATTTCAAAAATGTTCACTCTAAAAAATCTCATACAAAACGTAATTTATGCTACCTTAATCACGACAGAATCCCCTATACCTGAAAGCAGTTATAACAATTTCGAAAAATCAAATATAACCAACCTTTGTGCCAGTTAGGGCGAGCGTAGCATGTGCTGGGGATGAGCAGGGCGCACAGCAGTAGTAAGGGAGACATGACCACCCTGGGCGAGTTGCGATGGGCACTGGAGACACTGAGGGACTGACCAGTGGACCACTGGACTGCTGACTGCTGACCAAGGGGTTGTACATTGGGTAGGGGAGGGGGTGGACTTTGACCCTAGACGCCAGACATGTCTGTGGACAAGCCGGATGCCGGAATGAACTTCCTTGTAGGGAATTCAAGAATAGTGCAAATTACCTGTATCAAGTTGAATAAATTACTATTTTGTAGCTTTTAAGTAACACGATTTTAGCTATCATAACAAATATACATCCTGGTTTTGATTGCTAAATGTTGAATAATTTTCATGGAAGAATAATATCATTTTATCAGAAACTTGTATAAGATACACAGTTTACCCGTATCTCTACGAATACACTCAACGGTGATGGTATTGACACTAAAACTGTCACTGAAAAGTAATTTCACCCCCGTATACAGTCAAAAATCGTACGTACATAAATAAGTAAGTATATTCAATATTTTAGACACGAAAATTATTCTTTGACATTTCGTAGATACAAAATAAGAATGCTATCACTTTTCCTAGCGGTATATACTCGTGCTGAGTTATTTCTTCTACATGAATAATATATCGTTTACGTGAATAATTTTGATGACATAATTCGATTATAGGTCTCAAGTCAATCCAAAATCAAAAGAAATCTATAATTGGAACACGTAAATTATCAACATAACTTTAATCGTACCTCAGGTTATCATAAAGGTAGGTAATGTTAATAAAACATCGATAAAAATTTAACTAGATAGTTAGGTAGAAACGTGAATATTATAGAAATACACAGCAGTCCTGCATTTTATCTACGAATTGATAAACTGATCAATAAGTGAACTTTCACTTGGATTCACACCACATTCAACATGATCAAGAAATACTACGTAATAAATACTGTAGGTAGGTTATCTTAACGTATTTTTTTATTTAAAATGAATTGAGTAAAACGGAGTTGCAACAAAATTGAAATAATAGTATTTTGTTACCCATTCCTACTAAATGAGATGTAACCTAGATGTGCAATGGATTGTCTTGAAACTAATAATAAATTCATTCTGTATAAAATAACAACTAGGTATAATCGGTTTGTTTGCAGATAGCACTCTATAATGCTAGAAGACAATAAAAATCGTGTTTTATAGTATCATTACTTTATTTCAGACCCCAACACACACTATCTACATGCCATAAGATATGTGAGGATCCTTATACTATCACCACATACTTAATACTTGTTAATTTATTCAAGTAATATTTATTCATCATTTATATCTAATCCAACCGGGAAGGCGAGTGTGAACTTCCGGAATGAAACCAGTTCTTTCATTCGTGGATCATAATCTAAATGCCAACAGTTCAATCTTAACATTATTCAAAACATTGTACCTATATGATTTAGTAGTAATGTACCGTAATGCCATTCATAGTTTGATGAGTCCTCAATGCGTCAAAGAGTAGGATATTTCTGCCGAAAACGTTAATCCGTTACAAGTACACGTAGTACAACTGACAGCTGACCCAGAATATTCTAGAAACGGGCGAAAGTTGAATGATTGAGGAGTTTCCTCTGACGTGGAAAAGTTAACTTAGTTGATTATTGTAAATCTGAGAGGTTAAAGTGCAAGTTGTCATACAAGACAACCGATTTTGTGATAAAAAAACAAGTATCAATGTTAAGTTTAGCTGCGTTTTGTCCCTACGAGCCCTTGCACCACCTTAAGAGGGTTCCACGCGCCCGACTGGTTACCACGTAAACATGGTCCTACAAAAAAGAACCTCGTGGCATTATTAAAGTGTTTATCGAGTTGAAATAGACTGTAAAATACTCACAAAGATCCAAACTATGCCCTGGATGAACTGAAACTTCGTAATTGTTTATTTACGTATTTACAGAATCATTTTTAAAATCCTTTTTGAAAATCCAACCCCACCCATTGCAAGCTGTGATATGTTGAGAGCACAAAAAGCACACAATCATTGGAAACTAATTAGTTTTAGAGTGTTGAAAGCTTGTACCGTAGAGGCATGTTTAGCCGCCATCTTGAATTGACCCGGTAGAACTTAATAAATATTAATGTAATAAGGTGAATAAAGTTGATGCAGTGAACTAAAATTCAGTTTATAATAAATATTTCTAACAAAGTAACACATATCTTAAAAAATAAATATATTTACACTCCTTTATTACGATTGCATTTTCAAAAAAATATTGCACTTAAAAATTGAAATAATTTGTATTATAAGATTGAAGTTTTATATGTGATTAATATTTATCGTAGTTATGGGGGTTTCCGTGGTCCACATAAATATAAGAATGCAGAATATTGGTCGTTGACCTACAACAACCGACGTGGACCTCTGCTGTACCTTCCAATGGCAATTCACATGGATCTGCTCTTGCAAGAAACGAGAGAAAATGCAACAAGAAATATCAAGTAAAACTACAAAAATGTTTGTGAATATTTTAATGTTTAAATCGAATTGACCTAAATGCAACATTGGTTTAACATTTGTAGACTTGAAGTACAGTAGAACCCCGGTTAACCGAAATAAAGGGTGGATAGCCATTTCGGATAACCAATTATAGTTAACCTATCATATGCTTAAAAATAGCCAATGTATCACCACAGTGTGTAGGGTAAATGAATTTAAATGAATGTCTATATAATTCAGTGTTTTATTTAAGCAACAAAAATGTTACAATGGGATAGAAAATACTTTAAACCAGACAACTGAAGTTATTAAAGCATTTTACAGCTCTATATTATTTTATAGAACCATTTCGGTTAATCCGAATTCGGTTAAAAGGGTTCTACTATGGTATTTACTCTATTAGACTTGAGTACACCAGTCGATGTCATTTTGATACGATAATTATATTGTTAAATTTAAAAAAATGTGAAATTCCAACTAGCAAGACTTCAATTGAAAATACATATCTACGTTCCCACTAAAATACGTTAAGTTACCGCAAATCAATCAATAGGGTGCATTACTGAAATAAGTTCATGCATTATGTTAAAATAATCATTGGGTATTTGACTGTAGTGAATAGTAATTTTTGTATGGATTCCACGGTTTGTTGCTCACGAGCTTTGTTAAACTGTATTTCCTCATCTAAATACATCACAGTTTTTCTGTTTAGTTTTGACTCAGTCGTCCCGAAAACCTGTTTGTAACCAAAGGAAACTTGTAAATCATAGACATTTTTGTACATTTATTGCTATTCATGCATCACGTTTCCCACCAAACAAACATCACCACAGGCCTCACAGTTTTTGTAAAAATAACTTAAAATACATTATACCGATAAGTAGTACTGCCAGCCGCAAGACACTGTAAAAATTCCACAGTGTTTGTGTAAGTATAACTTACAAAGAGTAGACTAAGATGAAACTCTTCACAAAGATAAATCCATGGCGATACAACTGAAGAGTGTGAAGGCTGGGCTGTCCACAAGGAAGTGTGTGAATTACTTTACCTATGTGATTCATAGTCTAAAACCTAGTACCATTGGATCGTTGATAATCAACTTCCCATTTCCCTTAATTACACTTAAGTATGAAAGCGATAGTTGAACAATGTCTACCGCTTTGTGGAATGTTCATTAATATTGAACCGATGATAGGTATGCAGCTGTTCCATTTAAATACTAATGTACTCCTGTGGTTCGAAGATTTTAACAAGTGTTTCTAAAATCATAAACTTGTACTTCCACTCGATCGCGCTAAGGCGAAGACACCAACCCCTTGGGACGTCGGAGGGGTAGGAGTCAGGGTGACTGGAGACTAGAGTCTAGACCGCGGGCGACGGGCGACGAGGGGACGCCCATGGGGGCGCTAGGCAGGCGACCAGGCGAGACCGACGGAGTCCACTCAGAGGTCCGTCTACGGCTGTAAATGGAAGTTGTACATCAACATAATGGACAACCATTATACATTCAGGTCATGGTGTCTCGTGGTCAAGGTTTAGACAAATCAATAAGGATAAATTTAAGTGTAAACTTTTCCGTGCTACAGTAGAATGTGCAATTGAAATTCTATTAATTTTATATTTACATAGCTTAGACACCAAAATTTTAACTTTGGCTGATTTGTCAAACAAAATGTTTAATAGTTACTTATATTATGTAAAACAGTTTAAATAATCTGAAAACAGTCGTTGTGTGGTATGACCATCACAAATTCAAATTGCATAACAATAGTCAAAGAGCGAAACCATATACAAAAAGAAGATATATGTGTAAATCATTGACTATTAATATAGGCCTACTAGTATATAATTAGTCAATGGAAAAACTTAAAATTAAATTAATTACTACAGTAGATATTTTTTGCCCAATATCACCGAAAAAATAGAACACTAAGAAAACTAGAAGCTAAACGAAATTCTTATGATAAAATAAATTCTACCAACGTAATCAAAAAGAAAAAAATCAAATGAAAATGCATAACATAAATAACTATCGAAACAGCCAGACATATTTGTAACAATGATCAGAACTAACTGAAATACCAAAATCCTGATAACATTTTTTTATTATCTGCCTACTTCAAACTTATGGTCATGATTCTCCCAAGAATGCAAGACATTTGTATAATGTCGAAACCATTTGGTTATTTGTCGTTCTGCGCTTGAACTGATAGTAAACTAAATAAATGAGGAGCATTGTATGATTAACAAGTGTCTGAAGATAGTCGAACAAAAAGAGTCTTCCAGCAAAAAAAAATTCATAACTTAAATGCCTACATATTACATTCTGAAAATATTTTATATTATTTTCTTACGTTTAAACAGTTTTAGAACCTTGTATGCCTAAATAAATAGGTTTTTGATCAGAAATAATTCAAAAACTATTAAAAAGAGGCTAGTGGTCAGTCTTAGGAGCATCTTTTTGCTAAAATGCAGGAAAAGTTCACTGTGTCCTACTACGGTGTTGGGTATAAAATAGAGACACATAATGGTCCACCCCAACACAATAATAGTCACCCAAGAGTTACCTTGATCCAACAAGAGCATGATGCACTTTCACAATAACTTTCCGGGCATCACGTACACTGCAAGTAAAACATTCTCACTAGTTTTATTCATTCAATAACAACTTGGTTTGTGAATTTTCCTTGAAAAATCTTAAACAATTTACTCCACACTTGATCCAACACAATAAATTAAATATTTTCAGTCATTTAGAGTGTATAGTTTTAACCCTTATTATGATGTTTATTTTTGTGGTTATCTATCTCGATTCAGCTCAAGTACATAGTATAAGCAATGAATACTGAATAATTAAACATTGAAGTATCTTTCAAAGCCTGATTCATAACATTTCCTCCAGTTGAATGTGAAATTTGAATAATAATTGATAATTTTTACAACAAATCGGTAAAATATGAACACTGAGTTTATTTTAGGAATATACCTTATGCAATATATCTAGATAAGGAAGATTCCACGTTTATCATCAAAATACCAAACACGAATGACAATCATTACAATGCAAGTAAGAAATATGTAAAATTGTGTCGTTTGTAACATGCCCTAGATTTTGACATCACTGTTGTAGATTTTAAACAAAAAGTAACATTAACGAAGTAACTGAATATTTTTTAATCAACGTGAAACGTCATTGTAGTAAAACATAATTAAATAAACATGATATCAACTATTTATATTTGCATGTATGTAAGGATTTACAAACTGTGTCAGGTCGGTCAGCAGACGGAAGCCCACAGGTACAATATTGTGTCACTGTGTCATTGATAATGTATTACAACATAATGTCGTCATCTAGGCATATGTCGGGTTGTATAATGACCCTTATGTCCATTGGTCATACACCCAGCCTGTCCTAACATCGGTAGGCATCGATTAAAGTTTGTGTAACAATTAGTAAACTTCTCTTACAACGTACGTTGGTCTAATTTTCATCTCAGTCAAATTTGACTCGGGCTAATTTTGTTTTATAAATAGTTGGTATATTTCTAAAACCTATATTACAGTCAGTTTTGTTAAGTTATTAAAGTATAACAGAATAAAAGACCTGGCTACAAAGATTGCAATCTGAGTCTTAATTTATACATCTTGTGAGTTGAAAACGTAGAATGTTCAATTAATGAGGTACCTACATGTAAAACAATAGATAAAGAAAAATTAGACACTTTATGAAAAATATGTTTGCTTAAAGTGTCAATAGAAACTTGACTAAGGGCCATGTTTGAAACACAATTAGAACTTAAGTCTTCAGACTTTTTTAAAGTATAACAGCCTAGAGTTAAATTTTCCTGGAATAGTTTCGATAGTGCAACATTGTACATAATTACTCTAGGAACAAATCTATGAGTTTCTAAGAGTGTAAATACACTACGGTCCCATTAGAAATAAGGCATAGAGTTTGATAAATAAGAATACTAGAAAAGGTTAATTCTTGAAGTTAAAAATTCAGATTCATATGACTCTACGACCGTTATTAGTGTTGAGAACTTGATTCATAGCCCTCCTCTAGACACGACAATAAGTAAATTTTATCATTAGCAAATCCATATAATCCCTGATTACAAATCAATTAAAATAGATTGAGCACTGAAATAAATTAATTGAATGAATACTGTACTGGGTAGTAAAAAAATAACATTAAGCCATAACATCAGTTATTAATAACTATCGAAATATTTACACACTTTCCCGTAGGTAGCAAAAAACACAAAACGTGTACTTTAGTTATATAATTTTCCCCTTTTGTTTGTTGACCTACCTAAACTCCTACAGCACTAATAAAATATGTGTTGTGAAAAACAGTTATGCTATTACATTAATGACAACGATATAAATAGCAGATTCTACGAATTACGAAGAATTTCTATGGGTGAGGAACATTTATTAATTACAGACAGGAATCATTAATGGCCACTAACATTCAGCCTAATATATCTTTGACTATACAATATGCAATACGCACTACGGACACATTTCGTTCCAATTCCCATGTATAACATAGCAACATAGCTGTTTTAGATCACGTCAAACCTCTATAAGACGAATTTCAAGGGGTAGGGGAACATTTCGTACTATCGAGGTATTCTAAAGAGTTTATCCTTGCTCTAAGACAATCGTTGTTGTAAGGAAGAGGAATGGATGGGGGTTTCATGTTGAAACAAGCTCCTTTTTGTTTTGAAAACTACGTACTGTACTATAGAGGTTGAGATCATGAGAAATTCGTCTTATAGAGGTTCGTACTAACGAGATTCGACTATATATAATTCAGTTCAATTGAACACCGACTGTATTTAGGCCAGAGGAGTCTGAAAATCTTGTTAACCCCTCCCCTTCCCTAGGTAGCAAATACTTTACAACCATAATAAGCTTTTTTAATCCGCTCAAATTATCCTGTACCTGTGTCCAAGAATCACAGTTAAACAGTCTTATTTCACGAGTAGCCTATACAAACACCTTTTCTAATTGTTTTAACTTAACAAGTGTTAATGTTTACAAACACGTCTATACCCAGTTTGCAACATCACCCGTATGTAGCAGGTTATAAATGTGTGCGCTACCCCCCAGGTGACTCAGTACGGTAACATGTGGGTATTGTTGGTGACGGCTAGCTTGGTGTTTGGAGGCCACGCCGCGCCACCACCGGCGCTGCTGGAGCTTGGTGAGACAGGTGAGACCATGGGGCATATGGGGCTTTGTATGGCATTATATGGGGAATGTGGAGATATGATTGAGTAGAGAGGTATAAAATAACTTACAACACTGTTAACATAATTACTTTGTAACTGTAAAGCATTCGGTGTTCCTAGACTTGGAGGATTCAGGTGCCATGGGGTATTGTATGGCCTAATATTGGGGGTACGTGGACCTTTAAATTAGACAACGGTCGAAAACTGGACTAAAAATATGTAATGTACAGACTTCTCTGTTTTCACCCCACGCTTTAAATAAAACATTTGATTGAAATTTCTTAAATTTGGTTTGATTTCTTTTTATATTTCGTTGTTATTTTTTCAGCAGCATGTAAACCTATAGGGCCCATGTTAATTTTTTGAAATTATTTAAAATTAATTTTTTGTGCTTATTTTTTAGCATATTTTGATTCATAAAGGGATTCTGCACATCTACATATCTTTATAACAGTGGGCGTAGATTTTCCCTGCGCTGCACACGATTTGAGAAAAATGTTTTCAAGAAATATGCTTGCCTATTAATAGGATGATCCTGGCTAATGAATCAGATGATCTTAGTCAGTAACAAATTTACACAGAACATCTCACTCCATTCTACACTCTTCATTCACTATTATTTGGGTTAAAATACAGTTATTTGGGTTTTAGGTGGCAGTGACGTCGCCATCTCAAAGCTTGATAATTGGTTGATAATTGATAATCGAACAGGGCGTGGAAAACAAACATATAAAAATATTGTACTGTGGAACCAGATACACACAACTAACACTACAACCACGAAAAAATCCAATCAAAAAAATTAATTTTGTGTCATCACTGCATAAAAGTCACAGTATATGCTGTCACATAGTTAAAAAAAGTATTTACTATACATCCTCCATTCATTGTGAATATATTTAAATATACAGTATAAATTGTAGGTTGAACTTTGTAATAAGTACGATTTTACACCTCAGATAGGCCTAAATATTTTTCGTAAATAGTTAACGTTGTACTTAGTTGTTTTCTTCACTGAGTTACTTTGGTTGTACTTTTGAAAAATCCTTGATCGTAAAAAAAGTTTATAGTTGATTTTATCTTTAAATTCAATGTTTGAAGAAACTTCGTTTACTAGACGAAATTTCTTCAATTGCAATGAAAAGCATTTAATGTTGAAATATTTGGAGTGAAGTGAGTGACAAGGACGTATTCTGTGGAATGGTTGGAATTGTTTGGCCAGCGAATGTTGTGAATACCACTTTTGCTGTTGAGGATAAGCATAGAATTTGAATACAGCAAGTTTATTTCTTATTCAATTGTAAAACTTGAAGCATCGTTCATTGTGTTATGTACAAAAGTTCAATACCTACGTTTTTACTGTAAGAAGAAATTACCACAATTTTGTAAAGTAGTGTATCTTTTAGTTTGTGTCTTATTTAATGTTTTAATCTACATTTAAAAATAAGTAATACTTTTCTGTTTAAAAAGTTACAGTAAATAAACGAAGGTCAAAAATTAATTATTCTAAAGTTTTATTTTTGGCTCACAATGCCCAAAATATTTGACATTATGACCTATTGAACAGTTCCTAGTTGTGAAATGTATGTGCTTATAACAGATATCCAAATTCAATGATTGGTTTTCAAAGTTTTCAGCGTAAACTTCCTTCCTTTCTCGTTATCCGTGTAAACAGCTGTTATCACGGCCCGCATTTAGCTAAGCTATCTCTCTCTCCAATTAATTAGGAGGCTCAGTCCAAAACCTACTCTCCTCCAATTCTGACAGCGAAAGTCTTTTGATAACGACGCCCACATAGCTCAGTAATCTTTAAATAACACTTTTACCTTTTCCCATTTTAATTGCGAATGATTGAGAATGATTGTGAATAATTGAGAATTCCGTTTGCCAGAAAAATCTGATACAAGTAAAGAATGTTGAAATAGAAACTAAAAATCCACTAAGACTTTATCATTAAAATGTTTAAGATTAAGATAATATTATTGATAAATATTTGCGGAATATTTACATGCTGTAGGTTGTACGTAATGTATTGCTTTAAACTCTCTGTGTATAAATTCTCACAAAATGGGCAAAATATTGCAGAAAAGCCTCCCAATAAAATTGATCCAAGGGGATTTAGCCAAAGTATTTCAAAATAATTTGCAAGTGTGAATACTTCACAGATTTGAATTTTAGAGGGAAATAGTCAGTCAGAGTACATTTTACAACGCGATTCTCCATCTAGAATCTTTAAGACAATTAACTCTTTGAATGTTGAAGTTGATTTCAACAATGTCAATAAGCACTCCGAACTATAGAGATTTTAAAATAAAATACATTTCAAGATACAAGTGTTATAGGTCAATGCCAACCGATTACAATGGTGTATTATTTCCCTCCGTTTTGCAATATTCATGATTATCATTCCATAAATTAATTCTATAAACATAAATTATGAAACACTATGGTATTAAAATAGGTTTAATCCTTAACTCGATTGTTATTAGTTTTAATTGGTTAGCTGGTATTTTTTAATTAAAAAAAAACTTAAAAACGTTACCAATAGTTTGTTTCAGTTTCAGAAATCCTCAGCGACCTAGAAGACATTCCATTGGAAGAACGAGTCGACGACACAGTTTCTCCAGAACTCCTGGAGCTGTACCAAAACATCGAAATGCTGCTGGAGATTCAAAAAAGCAACCTAACCGAAAGTCGGGAGGGCCGAGGACTTCTGAGCAAGCTGAGTTTTCTGACTGGTCTGAAACTCGGGAATTTCCTGACGAGCTCGGGCACGCTGGCTGCTAGTCAGAGTATAAACTTCCTAGGGAAGGTGCTGAACGCAGCCTTGTCTGTCAGCTACGGGAACGTCGGAGGATATCCCGGGCTGGGGGGAGAAAATGGAATTGGAGTCGGAGAACTGGGAGCTCTAGGGGCTCCAATAGTGGGTCTGCAGAAACTGCCTGTCATCGAGGAAGATGTCCCTGACGAGGTGATGTATCTGAACACTCTCTGTGTAGTTCTTCAATAATTAATTTGTGAAACTCTTTTTTTTACATCATACCAGAATCCAAAATACGCATTTTATGTCACATTTTAGTCTTAAATTGCAAAACTGGTGTATGCATTACAGATTTTTTTTGCAAAAACACCAGACCAAATTTTTTTAGAGCTAATTCAATCCTTTGAAAAAACAACCCAAACATTGGAGTCAAAATTGGTTTCATGTGTGAATGTATTTCGTGTTACTACTTGCTACTCCAATCCAATAAACTACAAGGTACAATATATATTGTTAAATCAAAATTTTCCTACAGTTACCTAACAAAGCGGGCTTTCTTACACCGATTATAACACGTGAAGCTGATTACTGCTCTTTGTGCATTAGGTACAATAACTATTGTAGAATTTATGTATATTTAATCACTGTGGTGTAAAGTGATTCTTTTCTACTCGAGCTCAAATTTTACGATCAAGGCTAAGCCGGGGTAGGAGAATGAGCGATGGTTGAAAAGACACTTTTTGCACCTGTGATGATCTTTTTCGTCATATTTCAACATCCAAACTAAGGTATGAAACGAAAAGAAATGTAATGTTATGTTGACCTCTCAACCCGACTTTCAACTTATTTTCAACAATTTCCCCAATTCCAACAAACATTAAGTGATGATTTAACTATATTCTCTATTACTTTTGTGTTAGTGCATCCTGTAGTCCTGCATCCAAACTCGATATGACGAACTATTGGCAAGAATCATTGACTATTGGCCACGGAAGTCAATTGGTTGTATCGATAGTCAAAGCAAGAATGCAACAATAAGCTACAACCTATTTAATCGATAATATCGATACATGCGTTTGCTAGTCGATGTTTACAACTGAGTTATAACAGCAGACTTTTACTCCCTAAGGAGTAAAAGTTTCTGTTTTAGACCCTTATGTATTTAACGGCTATTTTGCTTCAGTATGACGAAAATTATTATTTTTCAAATCCTTAAATATATAAATCATACTCCCTTAGTTAAAACATAACACCTTGTGTTGGTAACTCTATAATCATGTGTACTGTATATGTTTCTGAATGCTGGCTTGAAAAACATTCACACTATTTGTTTAAAACGTATCAAAAATGTCAGTGCTGAACACTCGTTCAAACCTGACCCAGTGTTTAACTTATACATTTTAACAAATAACTTTTATTTCAGGACAAGAAAAGAGAAAAGCCAGACAACGCCTCCCTGCCAGTCACCTCCCCGGCGGCCACCCCCGCCGTCAGGATCAGGGCGAGTCCTGTGGAGTCTTCAAGGAAGGAGTTCCTCAAGGATCACAACCACAGGGTTGACAACTTCAACAACAACTTTGAGAAAAAACTGAGATCCCGAACTGGACGAATAGAAGCATCAACGTATGTTTAGGTGTCATAAACTTGGCGTAATCCTGCTCTAACTCTATGAACTTTCTTTCAAGAAAAGTACAAACATTGTGATTTTTAAAATTGTAGTAAAATAAAACTTGTGTATGCATTAGAGTCTGAGCTCAACTTAAGAGTCCAATCGAATTAAAGTAATGGGCCTGAAACGATACCGTAAGGGGTTTTGACAGTATTTTTGTGTAAATTAGCAAAGTGTTGTATATTTATTAAGTCTTATAATATCATCAAATCTTCGTACTTCAATATTGTATATAACCTGATCTTAGTCCCTAGGTTTTTAATTGGCCTTTTTAGTAGTTAACAATCTGAGAAACTTTAAAGTTCACAAAGAAAATTCTAGAAATTCTGTAGTAGTAAATGATAGTCCTAGTCCATTGCCTATTTGATGCAACTTTACGGGTTAGGTTAGTTTTAATGTAACAGTGTTTGCTTATTTGTTTAGTAACCACTGTGAATATAATTTTTATCTAGCATTATAAGACAAAAATCAAATTTAATTTCATTCCATCGCTTTCACGATAGAAAATTAAAATCTTAGGTTATTTATATATATGTTCTTAAAATCAAACTGTTCCAATTATTCTTACATTACCATGGCTTGACCATTAAAAATTCTCTAAAATTAGGTAAAATGTGAATAATAGTCTCACCTCATTCCTTGACAATTTTGTAATTTGTTTACATAAAATTATGTTATTGAACAGAAGCACAGTTATTTTTCCTTCTCACCAAAGATCTTGTTACAATTTCCCACAGCGCTGTACAGTCCCACAGCAGCCATTAGCATCAGAGGTCCGTAAGACCTTGTCATCATAGAGGAAACCGCCCCCAAACCCACGAACCCAGCCATAAGTGCATTTCCTTCTTGGAGGCACGTATTCCACTTGTCAGCTCTTTGATGATGTTGTTGTGCGTTCGTTTTCTGTGGACTTGTAGGGATCATAGTCATATTGACTTTTGTGAAATGGTGTTGAAGTGGGGAATAAAAGCAAACTTAAAATTTGAAGCTTGGCTTGGTGATCGATTTAACGTTTTATTGCCATAGAAACATTTTAATTAAAATATTCATTGAGTTTTATGGTTTTTTTATATATTGACATTCAACAAATTCCGTGCCACAGTAGTCTGTACAAGTTTTTAAGGTGATGTTAACATAAAAAGAGACAGATAATTTGATGTCATGGGGGTTTAATTATTTTCTTGAGCGATTTAATAGCTACAAATTAATTTCTTATTGTTTTAATACATAATCTTATGTTTTACATGGAGATTCATCGTCTTATGGTGACGGTGGGTGCAAATCTGGTCCGTGCTGTAACAGGATGACAGAAATTGACATTTTTAAAATCATCCTTTGAATTTAACGATTTAACCTATACAAATGGAGGACAATGCCACACTTATCATGCTGAAGATAACATATTTTAGGGCAAACTCTGTCAGCCAAAATATAAATGGCACAATTTGCCTAATGCTTGCGCCTTCAGAAACTGAGGGACAAAATATCTTACATAATTGTAGCTCGGTTGCTCTGTAGACAATGTAGGCAAGCAGTTCAGTAAACTGAGGGTACATATTTATTTACATACCATCCATCTACAAATTATCTAATATCAATAAATATGTTGTCCCTTCCTTCTGACTCCAACAGTTCCATTTAAAAATATAATGTAATTGATCATTATGCTATATGTCGAGCCATATACGCTCCACAGAGTATAGTTTTGGGATCAGAAGTGTCTAGAACGAAAATTAAATATCTCTGTGATGAGTATATAGATAATTATTTATTTCTTAGTTGTAAAGCCCTTTTATAGGGAATTTTATTGCATCTATTTTATCAGAGACTCTCAATCTCTTAAGATATTAATATTTTTTCCCATTTACAATCGAGCTGGATTTTGCACGTTTTAGTACCTTTATCAAACTCCTGAATAAAAAATTAAAATTAATACAAAAGCCACATTTTCTTCATCGATGCAACATATGGAAGTCAAATTTCTCCAATAATTTTGGAAACTACAAAAATGTCTTCCGGTTTCGATGTAGTATGAATACACTACTCGCTTTAGGTGTGTTGCAAACGCAAATGCATATTATTTAAAACCTTTTTTACTGTAATCATTTACATGGTGTGTTTTACTCTAATGTTATCCCAACGAACTGTTGGTTAGGTTAACCCTCTTCAGAGAAAAAGTAATGCCGGAAATTAAAAAAAAAACATACAAGGGAAGTCTTTTAGGTAATGTTTATTTTAAAGATATTAAACATACTCCCTATGATATCGACATCAAAAGATAAACGTTTGATAGCATCAAGTCCAGACGTTGGACCGCTGCTCAACACAAAACGTAAAATATTTCAACTACCGGTACCCAAAATATAGACGAATAAAAATACTATAAAAACATTGTCTGAAGTGCATTTATATGTTAAAAATTTGCCACACCTAACGATAACTTAAAACTATCTACTGCTCTTATCTATAAGGATTATAACAAATCCATAAGAAATCGTATGTTTGGTATAAAATCACACTAAATTTAAACCAGATGTATTCTACAAATTAAGTGCGTTTCCGAATTGAAACTAGTTCCTTTAGCCATAGATAAAACAAAGGCTTCTCCTCAAGCTTTAGCTTACTTACTCTATAAAAGACCACCGATTATTAAAACTATAATCAAAGGTTCAAACTACTTTTCTATTTCACTCAACTACCAAGAGTCCTGAGTCCATAACATTTCGAATTTGAAATTTGAGGTTAAGTAAAAGTAAGATTGTTTCGTTTTGTTTTTAGGGTACTTGGTGAAGTTAAGTTAACATTAAACTGTGACTAATAAGTTAATTATAATTACATATCTATAGCGTTTTAAGTTAGCTGCAACACATTCTATAATGAAGGACATTCCCAAAGATTTTGCAACACCTGAGAAACAAGAAGCTCGAGCTTTCTTGCGAGAAAGATTCCTTAGAGTTATCACCGGTATAACAGGTGCGTACCTTATTTAACCTAACACTTATGATTTCAACACCTCTAATTTTAGGTAAAAGATTATCTAAGGCCTAAGTAAGTTATGAGTATATCTTATAACGTTTTGGTACTTTTGTTTTATTATACGGAGGCTGGACTTACACTGTGTAAGTTAGCAACTACAAACTAACTTAAAATGGTTTACAATACCTACATAGTAATCCCTTGTTGCTGATTTAGGCAACTAGACCTAGTTTCAGTTCTTGTTTTGAACCATCATCAGGCTCAGGCCTCAATGTGTCAGGTAATTACTTCATTCGAAGGTTGTTAACAAACTGAGTTAAATAAATAAATCATATAGGCAAAACACGATAGGCCTAACACGGAACGGACACACATGACAAAAAACACGAAGGTACATTGACAATCGATTGTGGCCGGGCTGAGGTAAAGTCTAGACTATAGGACTATAGGTGAGTCTAGACTTTACCTCAGCCTGGTCAAGGGAGTATGTTTAAGCCCAGGCGCATATTGAGCTATGCGGCATGGTCCGGGCAGTGCAGCATAGCACAGGGCAGAATTGGGCAAAAAGTCTGTGTTGCACAGTTGACATCGCATATTGGGAAGCAGTGTCATACAGTTCTCATATAGGAGTGATAACAGTTTCTTGTGCGAATATATTGTTAAATATTAGGATTTGAGTTCTGAGTCAGATTCAGGCGCTGATCTAGATTTATTGTTACTTCTTCACCAGAGAACAAGAAAGAAAGGTCGTAAAAATTTGCAATGTTACGGTAAGTGATTTTTGTATTTTCTCCCAGATTTCATTCTTGTAATTACTCTTTATATAGGCTACCGTACTTAGGTACTATGACTGGTAATGTAAAAACTGGATAAAAACACACAATTTCTATTAATTTTCTTCTAGATTCGTCACAAAACACTAGTCAACCTGGCGCAGGTGAGCAATGCGGCACAGACACTTGTGACTTGACCACAAGTGCGCGCAGTCCACGTGCGGGACTGAACTGCACTGCCCTGCGCTGCGCCATATGCGTGTGTTCTAGCGAACATGTGGTTTACAAAACACTGCCCTGCGCTGCACTGCACTGTGCTGCTCCGACTGCGTCTCAATATGCACCTGGCCTAATCTACCGTATGGCTAGGCCCTAAATCGGATCAAAACTATCAGCATTTTCAATTGTATCAATCTAATAACTTTTTCAGTTGAAACCTAACTTAAGTTAGTTGTTCTGTTCAAAAATTTAGCAACCTCAATTGCATTTGCCTGGATATTAATACCTAAGTTTATCTAGGGTTCAGCCTAAGTTTAGGAGTTTTGGATGTATAGTGCTTGAGAAGGCTATGTTGCACCTGGGATCAAAAGGTGGTGACAACCCCCCCCCCCCCCCTTAACACAACCTTCTTAGTTGCCTTGTTCTCATAACTTAATCAGTATGATTCCCTTCTTTCCCTTTTTGTTTAGCCTATGTTTGTGTGTTCATCTAAAATTAAAATGCAACTTAAGTAAAAAATCATGTCATCGTCAATATGCGTGATTCGATCAACTCGATATCACGGACAATCAGTTAATATAAAATATCAGAAATGACAAAAATAAATGCGAACAAAAACCATCTTCTTTATTTCATTCCACACAACAACACACTAAAACTATTATTTGTTTTTAACAGAAGACAATTGAAAAACATGTGACTGTTTATTTACATATATCAGGAAACAGTCTTTTAGCAAACAAATAAGAAAGATCTATTGAGGTGTTTTCTTTATCAATGATTGATCATCGTACGTCAATTACAACATTCAATCAACAAATAACCTTACTTACACTTTGTATACTTACTTTATATAGGCCTACCTATTAGGCCCGGTTCACACGAACGACAAACCTAGCAGACTAGGCTTGGACTAGGTAAGCATTAGGTAAGCACGACTGGGTAGCAGACCACAGGATCAAATGGAGCCGTTCACACGAGCCTAGGACGCCGACTAGCTAGTCGTGTTTGAGCTTG